CCACTGGGCTGGCACGGCCTTCCCGGCCAGCGCCGGCCCCCGTGCGCCTCCTCGCTCTGCTGATGCTAACGACACCTTAATTACCGAGGGAACTATTTCTAAAAGAGCTAATTAGTTATCAAGGTAACTATTTTTAAATGAACTAATGAAACATCTACATCTGGTATAATTATGTCTGTCCTCTTTTAATTATTAGATGTGCTCATGATTTCGATGCGCTGGATCTATTTTCTTTGAAAAAGAAAGAATTTGTCATTTTGGTGCTAGAGCGCTCCCGCGAGTGGCGCGGGAAGGCTGACCGGGGTGAGCTCCTTAGAGAACAGGTCACGTCTACACAGCGGGGAGCAAGGAAAGGGAGTTTCTGTGGACACAGAAAACATCGCAGACAGGCGGGAGCTGCCAAACTCCTCACACTTCTGAAATACTGCCATTAATAACCCTTTGCAAGTGCTAATGGCGCAAAATATAATATCATCAAGGACACACTGCAGCAAGAAGGTGACAAAATAATAGGTGGTTATCATTAGCCTGATAAAAACACCCCAATTAGCAATGCACACTGAAATTACAGGGACTGTTTCACAGTCGTCATTACAGTTACGGTAAGAACGGGAAATTATGTATTGCAATAACTCCCAGCACAGCTCAGGCCTCCCGCTAGGGCTCCCCCCTGGGCTGGCTTGACCTGAGCAATTTCCTCAGGCTTTGCCCAGAGCCCAGCCCAGTGGCCACGGCACCAGGCCCCGGCTCGGCCCCCAGGTGCTAGCAAGCCCGTGCCCTGCTCACCCCCCGCCTGAGCAGGGGTGTCCCCAGCCCCGTCCCCCCGGCTGGCACCGTCTCCTCCGGCGCCTGTGGGCGAGTTTTCATACAAAACAGGGAAGGTAAAACCCCTGCCTTGTGCAAACTTAATAATAATAATGAACTGCCTAGCGCAATGCAAAGTGCCAGCAGGATCCAGCCCTGCCTAATGCTGGTTGTACATTTAGTAAACCAGGCAAAAATAACTTCGTATTTTATAAATTCTTCGAGCAGAAATGACCTAACAATATCCCTTTAAAACACAGTCATTGCTACATAACTTCTCTACAAACCAACCTTTCAATAACAGCCATCCAGGCGCTGAACAACATTCTTGCCTGATGTCAGTTTATTTCTCATTATGGCTAGAAGCTCATTAATTTCTAATTTTTTATTATTTCTTTTTAGGTTGTGACTTGCAATATCTTAACAGGCGTTTTATACTTATGCCATTTGCTTCTTGTTTCTCTGCAGGGAAAATGGAAACCTGGTCTAATAAATGAGAAAATGATGAAAACTTCTTGTACTCTGTAATCATAATAAATGGCTTTCTGCAATGGAACAGCATCACCTACATACAAAGCAATGCCAGTTTCAGGCGCTCTGGAAATTTTTGTTCTCTGTTTTCTGGAAGAGAACACCAACGTGGGCGTCGATGGGAACGTCCCTCCTCCAGCCGAGTCCCCCGGAGCGGCGGGGTGGCGGGGGCAGCTGTGGGACGAGCCGTGGGGCCGTGCTGCCGCCACGGCCGTTAACCGCTCACGGCCACCGTAACCCAGCTCTCGGGGGGGTGTCACACATCAAACCAACGTCCGCAGCGGGGTCGGTGCTGCCCCGGGCAGGTGCGGCCGCTCAGGCAAGAGCCCTTTGCAAGATGCCCCTGGTTCGAGACAGGCAGTGTCCTCCCCTCAACATCAGTGCCCCAACACGTATCTTTTCTTTTTGTGCCTCTCCACTCCTACATCTGTTCCTGGGGAAGGAATAAACATCTACTTGGTAACAAGTCAGAGTGTTTTTTAAAATGACTCTCCATCCGTTTTCAAGCAGATCTACAATGTGAAGCAAGGCAAGAAAGCAGAAAGAAGAGACTACTTTGTCCTCATTCTGCATAATGTGGTCCCTCGCTGCACAAAGGAAATTTTCAGTGGTTAAATACAGCCATTAGAAAAAATTGTATGTAATGCTGCCAGATCTGCGAAGCAGAAGGCAGGCATCAGCTGGTACTATATTGCTCAAGACATGGCACATAAAAGATTTAATAGAGTCCCAGATACCCTGAACATTCAGCTGCTGCCAAATGGTTTGTATACAGCTGCCTTTGCTTTTATTGCATTAAAGGCATAAAGGGTTTGGAGCCTGCATTTGCGATTCAGGACATGAGATGTGCATTTAACATCTCCCAGTTCCACCCCACTTCATGGGGCCCCAGACAATGACGACGCCTCTATTGTCACCAGAGCTGGCAGCTCCTGCCCCCCTCGGCGTGGTCAGCACTCAACAGCCCTGGCTATCTCATTAATTTAGAGGGGACTAACGAGGACCACTGGCCTAGGTGGTATTAAAAAAGTAACATGCGGGGAAAACTGACTCTTGGCTTTGAAACACCTTCCTTTAAGGTAAGAGTTATCATTAAAAGCACAGCGCAGGAACAGAAGTGCTCAGAGCTGTCTCCCCACTCTGCACAAAGTTTGTTTTGCTCAGCAAAAGCAGCTGAGGAGTTGAGCCGGACTTTGTTCGACTTCCGAGAGCACCCCGGAGATTTTCGCCGCAGCCTGTCCCACGGGCAGCCGCTGCCCCCGGCCACCTCTGCCGCCAGGCACCACTGCCCACGCTACGTCCCGGCCCTGCGGCTTCCCGCAGCCAGCATGTCCCCCCTGTGCGGGGTTGACAGCACATCCTCCGCCCCAACCTCCGAGTAACTCATGAGAGAGAGCGTGTGAGAGCAGCCGAGAAGTCAAGGGACGGGAGCCACGAGGAACCCGGCAGCGGGAGGGCCCCTCCGTGGTGCTGAGCTCCAGCAACGCTCCCACGGGGCAAACGGGCACCGCAGGGAGACACAGCACCCCAGAGCTCACCTGGCCTTCCTGTAGCATCTGGAAATCAAAGATGGGGACAAAGGGACCAGCTGTAACTTGAGAAGAACAAACCAACAGCAGCCTCTGGAGCGGGAACAGCTGGCACGGTTCCGAACCGCTCCTGGGGTCAGCCTGGTGGGGGCTGATCCACCAGCTTCCAACTGCTCCAGCGAAAACATTAAGAATTTCAAATATCAGACCACAGTTTAAGGTTTAGAAACCAAAACAAATTTTAAAAAATAATACCAGAACGAAGTAAGTAGAACCTGTCTGAGGGTCCTACACTTTTGGCTGGTTCGTCTTCTACTCCCACACA